CGGGATTACAGGCTGAGCCACTGAGCCCGGCATTTTTTTTTTTTTTTTTTAATTATGCAGACAAGGTCTTGCCGAGTTGCCTGGAATGATCTCAAACCTGTGGGCTTAGTCAGTCCTTGCTCCTCAGCCTCCCTGAGTGCTGGGATTACAGTTTTTTGTTTGTTTGTTTGTTTGTTTTTAGTTGGAGTCTTACTCTGTTGCCCAGACTGGAGTGCAGTGGCATCCTCAGGGCCACCACAGCCTTGAGCTGGGGCGCTCAGGCAATCTTTCCGCCTTCCAAGTAGCTGGAACTACAGGCACGTGCTACCATGCTCAGCTTATTATTGTTTTAATTTATTGAGAAGACGAGTTCTCACCAAATTGCCCAGGCTGGTCTCGAACCCCTGAGCTCAGGCAATCCTCTTGCCTCAGCCTCCCAAAGCCACCATGCCCAGCCTTTCTTTTCTTTTTCCGAATATTCTCTGCCAGTGGCTAGTTGATCCAAGGAAGCGGAATCCACGGATATTGAATCCACAGATACAGAGGGGCGACTGTGTAATGTGAACCATTTATGAAATTTAAAATTTCCTAGGAGCCACATTTTTTAAATAACAGAAAAAGAGTGAAAGCTAATTTGAGAGAGTATTTCACCAATTATATTAGAATACTATCATTTTGCTATGTAAATTCATGTAAGATTCTTAGTGAGATATTTCACATTCTTATTTTTTGAGAAATTTTTTCAAAAATTGGTATGTGGGTTAAACTTGTAGCACATGCTGTTTTAGAGTACTTTTTTTTTAGAGTTGGAGTCTCCCTCTGTCACCCAGGCTAGAGTGCAGTGACACACTGCTCATGGCCACCGCAGCCTCGACCAGCTGGGCACAGTGATCCTTTTGCCCCCGTCTTCCAACTAGCTGCAATTACAGGCAACGTGCCACCATGCCTGGCTAATTTTTTGGCTTATTGTAGAGCTGAAGTCTCACCAAGTTGCCCAGGCTGGTCTTGAACCCATGCGCTCAGGCATTCCTTCGCCTTGGCCTCCCAAAACGCTGGGATTATAGGCGTGAGCCACCGTGCCCGGCCCAGAGTACGTTTTAAGTGTTCAACAGACACTTCATGCTTTGGTTTCTGAAAGGGGTCAGGAAAATTGGATGAGGTCTATGACTCAGGACTTTTCTATGAGGACTGTGTTCATCCAGGGAAACACAAGTCTCTTGGGTAAGATCGGGTGACTAGGGAGTGTGGGACATGGGGTCATGCAGTTTTTAAATGGCTGAATACTCCATGCGGGCTAGACAGATGCATTGTCATGGTGGGAGAACCAGTCACCTGTTTGCCAAAACTCGGAACGTTTCTTCTGCAAATCACGACACAACCTTCTCAGAACTTCCAGATCAAAACTTTGTTTGGTTTTTTTTGAGTTGGAGTCTCACTCTGTTGCCCAGACTGGAGTGCAGTGGCCGCTCCTGGCCTCTGTAGCCTCGACCTGCTGGGCTCCGACGATTCTTCTGCCTCAGCCTTCCGAGTAGCCAAAGCTACAGGCGTGCACTACCACGCCTGGCTACTCTTTGAGTTACTGTAGCGACAAGGTTTGCCAAGTTGCCCAGGAGGGTCTTGAGCCCATGGCCTCAGACAGTCCTCTCACCTCAGCCTCCCAAAGTGCTGGGATGACAGGCTGAGCCACCGACCCCGGCCCAAAACTTTGGTTTTGATCTGGAAGGACAAATTCCGAGTGTACTATTGCAAGGGGCCTGCTCTCCAAAAGATAATTCCAGGTTTTGGGGGTCCCCCCTCATATCCTGTATTCTTACCACAAAGTAAGCCAGAGAAAAGGAAGTGTTAGGAAGAAAATCACAGCAAAGGGAAAACATATGTACGTCTCATTAAGTGAAAGTGGATCCTCAAAGGACTTCATCCTATCTTTACCCGAGAAGGCGGAAGAGGAGGAGGCGGAGGCGGAGGCGGAGGCGGAGGCTCGGCTGGTCGTGCTGCCTCAGGGGTGGCAGAAATGGAAGGAAGGCAGTCTGTGTGAGTGGACCTGCAGGGTCCACACCCGAGGTGTCAAGGGTCAGCTGCATAGCCCTTGCCCCCAAAGCTGCCTCAAGTGTCTCTGTAATCCCTCCTTCCCTGGGACCCCCCTCCGGGTCTGCCCAGGCAGCCGCTGGCAGGCTTTCTGTCTGCAAGGACAGGATGAAGACCTCTGCTGACCCACCTTCACTTGATGACTAGTAAATATATTTCGGCTTCTTTTCGGTTTTAATGATGAGCCCATACAGTGCGTCCTTTTGGGAGAGGGCGTCTGGCTCTTTGACACCGTCGTTGGGGATTAAGCCCTGCCATTGCAGTTACCAGTGTGTAGTTTATTGTTTTTTATTGGTGAATACGTAGTTCGTTCCTTTTTATTGAGGGGTGGTATTCTGACGTGTGGATAGAGCACAGTTTGATCGTCTCTTGATGAACATTTGTGTTTTTTCTGGGTTTTGGCTATTGCAAATTGCATTGTTGTACTGGTCTTTGTATGGATATATGCATTTTAAACTCTACCTGGCGTGGAAGGCTAGGTCTTAGGGTAAACGCAACTTTTTAGGAGTTTTCCAAAGTGATTATACCATTTTACATTTGTTGTATTCATACCACCAGGTAGTATGAGCTCAGGTTTCTTCATATGCTTCCCAATACTTTGATATACTCAGTCTTTAATTGTATTTTTTACTTTTAAATGTTACTAGTATTTGTGGCCTTAATTTGCATTTCCCTAGTGGCTAAGTGGTGTTGAGATCTTTTTGTGTGCTTATTTGTTGTCCATATTATCTCCTGCTGCTACCCTGTTCTCTTGCCTGTTTCTTTGGTAGGGATGTTTTCGTGTGGAATTAAGACCTCATCATAGAATATTTG